GAGTCCTGGGATCGAGTCCCGCATCGGGCTCCCTGCTCGGCAGGGAGTCTGCTTCTCCCTCTGACCCTCCCCCCTCTCATGCTCTCTCTCTCTCTCCCCCAAATAAATAAATAAAAAATATTAAAAAAAAAAAAACAAAACACCAATTCTGCACCAGTACTCATTATGGAACCTTTTAGGTGCTAATGCAAAGTCAATTTAGTAATCCTAGATTAGGGAAAATTGAGGAAAAGTTACTGATATTTAAATAATCCTTGTAGGGGCACCTGGGTGGCTCAGAACTCTTGATTTCGGCTCTACTGATCTCACAGTTATGAGATCGAGCCCCAAGTCAGGCTTTGCCCTGGGTGTGGAGCTTGTTTAAGATTCTCTCTCTCCCTCTGCAGCTCCCCCACCACAAGTGCACATACTCTTTCAAAAATAAACAATCCTCCCTAAATGAAGGAAACTTAAAGAAAAATTAATTCTAGCAACTTTAGTTTTAATGGGGCAAATATGACTTCATCACTGACCTACAACTGCCCTAGACCCACTGCCGGTCTGCCCCTAACCCACAGAAAGGTTTACATACTATTAGCTTGCAGTAATTCCTTGGACACATTGCCAGCAGAGCCTTGTGACACAGCAGTCACACTCTCGTCGTGTTCAGGAGACATGGGTTCTTGTTTAATCTGAATTGAAGAGTCTGGAGCAGGAACACTGCCATGAGCTTGGAAAGTAGGAGACGTGGTTACTTGGAGAGGGACTCCAGTGGATGATGGAGACATGTGGGAAGATGGAGGCTCCAGAACAACTGGGAAAAAGGGAGTAGGCAGCAGGGTGGCATCAGCAGATGTCTGAGATCTACTGTTCCTTCGCTCTCGTGGAAGGCTATAAGGAACCTGGTCTGGGCGATCAGAAGGTTCATATGTTTCTAGAATGGGAAACATACGTACGTACAAATGCAAAAATGTTCTCTGAAAAGTCACTCATTTCAGAGCCAATTTGTATTTTTAAAGAATACAAGAGAATTCCGAAGTCCCTGATAATTCTTCGAAATACGTTGTCATAAAATCTGTACGACCAACAAGGACACAGGCAGAACAGGCATTAGTATTCCATTTTTAAATTTTAAGTGACTTATCCAAAGTCATAGAGTTACTAATGGAAGAGCCAAGATTTGAACCCAGGTCTTTTGATTCCGAATCCAAGGCTCTTTCTGTAACATCCTGCCCCTGTTGCTAAGCATTTTCGGGGCCTACCGTCTCACAGGCTCTTCTACAGAAGGATGAAAGCAAGGAGACAGGAGAGAAAACATATGACCTTTTCATAACTACTTCAATTCCCCTGTATAGGTAACAAAGAAATAAACAAGCTACAGAGGATCCAATCCATCAGATGCTCTCTGAATACCTTGTAATCCCTGTAGAATCTGTATTCTGTGGGTCCTCAGTGCACTCATCTCCATAGTTATCTAAAAATAAAGTAATTGGTTAAGCATTTTGAAGTCCAACTTTAGAGATGATGCGTTATCATTAAACGTTCCATCCACTGTTACCTGCTGCTTCAGCATAAGAAGCCTCTGAACTTCAACATATGCTGTCTGCAGGGCTGCACGGGCTTGCAGAAGGTTGTTATCCATGCACTGCAATGATTTGCTCAGTTCTTCCTCCCTTAAAGAAATATTCAGCAGCTGGTCAACCTGAGAACGTTCTGCCAAGAGAAACCATAAGGCTCAGTTTAATACAGGAGACTTCTTGATAATACAGCTCCTCAGAAGGTGGAACTACATCAGTTCTCTAGAAGCCTTTATCTTCTCTCCAACAGGGCAACTGGAGACTCATCAAATCTCGCAAATCAGGTAGTTAAGACTGATGTCAGAGCGGACCCCAAAGTGAGAACTGGTAAGATGCAGGTAGCTCATAGGTACCAGTGTGCCGTCACATGGTACATCTTACGTCATCACCATCTTCCACCACGCCCGTCCCAGGCAAAGCAACTGCTGTACATTTCATTTCCCATTTTTCCTTTATCTACCACCCTCTTCACCTATGGTTTTTGCTTAGATTAGGCCTCAGGTGTGAATGGCTTGCACTCTTTTCCCAATCTGTATTTTTCTAGTCTCTTAGTTAATATAAAATAGTTTGCTTTATCAGACAAGAACTTCCTGAAGAAAATATAGCTTCAAAACAGTACATTTAAATTACTTTAAATAAAATGTCCTACCACATGTATGTATGTTTGTCTCTTTCCCATGCAGTAAGTCAAGACCTCTACCCTAAACTCCAGATCCACATACCCAACTACTACGTGGATATCTTTACTGAGGTATCTCTAAGATCCTTTAACTCAAAGGATCCCAAAAGGAACTCATCATCTTCCTCTACCCTCAACTTGTTCCTCTCATGGAGTTTTCTAGCTCTACAAATACCAACACCCCAAAGATGCCTCAGCCAGGAACTGAGGTCATCCTCGACTCCTACCTTATCCATCACATCCAACCTCCCAAGGTTCATCCAATCACTTCCCACACTAGCCCTTACACCAGAAAGGGTTCAGAGTCAGTGGAAAGCAAGAATCATAGAAATGTATATCCTGAGGGAGCGACTCTAACAACTTCCCTCAATTCAAGTAAGAGAAGCAAAAAGTTACCTCAGAAATGGAAATTGAGAGAAATGGCTATAAAAAACCAACAGAGACAAAATCTTTACTAAATGGCCTACTCCTCTTCATCACTGAAAAGGACCAATGAGACTTTCTGACTTTATACTGAACTCAATTTGTCCAAGATACATATTAACTTTAGCTTATGGGTCTATGTGGCACCAAACATTTCTTCTATAGCTGCACTGGGTATGGTAGAAAAATCAAACTTTTCTATGCCCTTAAACAAGACAACAAATATGTCAAAAAATAGTAATAAATGGGGGTCAGTGTTTGATAACCACAAGCAATACTCTGTGTCAAGTTGTAAAAAAGGCTGAATTGCTATAAGAACAATTTCTTTCTGTCAGAATATTTTGCACTATACCTTTCTTTCCTTTAATTTTCCTTCTTTTGTTTTTTCTCTCAAGACTTGGGAGTTCGGGAGAAGATCCATCCTGAGAAGAGAAAAGAAAACTGAGTAATATTGAATGTGTAAAGGCCATTACCCAGGAAGGGAAAAAAATGAATCAACTCTAAGACCATTATACGTTATTCTTCATTCTTGGTGCCATCTCTAACAGGATATGGGAATCTCATGCACAAGGTATGAACTCAAACATCAACTGAATGTATATGATTAAAAAAATAAAACAGGGGCGCCTGGGTGGCACAGTCAGTTAGGCGTCCAACTCTAGGTTTCAGCTCAGGTCGTGATTTCAGTGTCGTGAGACTGAGCCTGGCATCGGGCTCCGAGCTCAGCATGGAGTCTGCTTGAGATTCTCTCTCCTTCTCCCTCTGCCCCTCCTGCTCATGCGCATGCTCGTGCGCACGCTCATGCACGCTCTCTCTCTCCCTCCCTTAAATAAATTAAAATCTTGAAAAAACAAACAAAAAACCCCAGAACAGAATCTGAGGTCAAGTACCTTCCTAGCATCCTAGAGGTGGTGAAGCACTGGGGCTAAGGCAAAGCATTTCACGTTGGTAAAGCAAGGCACAGTTAGAAGTATGGACAAAGCCAGTAATGCATATACCTGATTTCACTGTGGCATAGTTTCTACTTTACTAGGAAATCTTCACAACAAAATCTTTACAACAAAAAGCTGAACAGTCTTTGAGACAAGCCCCTAGATATAAGCTTTGTTACAGGACAAACTTTCATCCAACAATATCCACTACAGTGTCCAACTCAAAGGAACAAAGCTGGAATTTGAACCCAGGTCTACAAGCCAAGCCCTTAACGACTCTGCTTTATTGCCTCAGTATTAAAGAACACAGCCCCATTAAGGAGGGTATGTGATGTAATGAGCACTGGGTATTATATAAGACTGATGAATCACTGACCTCTACCTCTGAAACCAATACATTACGTTAATTAATTGAATTTAAATAAAAAATGGGGGGAAAGCAAATATAAAAAAATGGTGAAAAAAATAAAAATTAAACTTAAAAATATAAATAAATAAATAAATAAATAAATAAAGGACACAGCCCATTTTCTCACAGTGTCACATTCCAGACTGTATCACTACCAGCAACTCTTTCTTTTCAGAAAGGGTTCCTGAAAGGGCTAGGCAGTGTTAGTGACAGAGATACCAGAAGAGAAGTGGGGTCAGTGCAGGAATGGACTCTGAAAGGGCCAAACTGGGTAAAGGAGGTACAAAACACTGAGTAACAGAGACTAAAAATATTTCTAAGACTATGTTCACATAGATGCACTCCAGTAGTATTAAAACTACCTTAGCGTTGAGCCCAACGGTCCTGGATCTAACAAGCATTCACGCCCTACAAATGCAAAACTAGAGTGCCTTTCTTCAGTAGCAGTACAGAATGCATGGTGAAAAGAGATAGAGTTGCAGCTAAAGATGCGTCTTACTCCTTGGTAAGGTGATACAAAGAATCACTGGCTTGGAGACTAGTTTTAGAGATGACTTCATATTTTCCTAGTACTGTACATTCATATTCAATTACATCTAACTTAGGAGAATTACTCAGCGAAAGAAACCAAGAGGATAAGACTATGACAATAAGAGCCTCACAAACCTATTTCAGAGTAGGAAGAAGCAGAACCCCAGCTACCCAGAAACAATTAAACAGTTAAATCTTTCTTCTAACAGCCAGGTCACCACGTGAAATGTCCTACAACAAGCATGGGCAATCATACTCACCCCAGTGGCTCTCCGTTTCTTTCGCACACTCTGGCTGTCGTTTTGTTCGGCACCAGAGGTACAGCTACTGTCTGTGGCTGCGTCTGCCAGACTGGAGATTCCAAGGGCTGAGGATGTATTTGATGATAAAGAGTTTCCTTCGCCATTACTCTCCTGGGTATTCTGGTTCTCTGAAGATGGCGTAGAACCCTCCTGGCTGTTCAGGTCTTTGGCCAAGTGCATCAAAGGTATCGTTCGGTCAGAGGACAACTGTGCACTGTGTCGCCTTTGACTAGCAACATTTTCCGCCCTTTCGCCCGTTCTTAGGGAGGCAGCCAGAGGTGTCACTTCCTGCTTAAGGCCCAGGGTCGTTGTCTGACTCTGTGCAGCCCTCAACGAGTTACTAGGTGAAAAAATCTGCTGGGGCTCATTTTCTTTGCCCGTACCTTCCTCACTGAAGAAGCTATACACAGAAGGAGCCCTGTCCATGATCACACTGCTCTCAGAAAGGCTTCGCTTCCTTGCCAACCCAGGAGATGAAGAAATGGAAATACCTTCCCACTGGAATCCTTCTAGATTGGACAGATCAGGCTCCCCATCCAAATCCAAGACCTCTTGTTCATTTTGAACCAAAGGCACCATTTCTATGCCAAACCTTAAGAAAAAACAAAGAAAAAACCCATAAATCAGACGTGGGTAGGGGAGAGGGGGCACCACTCAATGAGATTACAAATATAAATAAGCTGGTTTCTGCCCTCAAGAAACTCACAGTCTAGTAAGTGTTCCAGACACAAAGTAAATAACCATCTGTAAATACTACCATGTAACAAGTACTGAATTAGAGATTTGTGCACAGTTATGAGAATACATTTGAGGAAGTGAATATTGAGAGTTTTATTAGTATGGAGCTTTTCCAAACCAACAACAAATAATTTTTAAACAGCACACAAATCCAACTCAACCAAACAAAAATATTTACTGAGCATTCCCAAGTGCCAGGCATTAGGCTAAGAACAAGAACTTTGTAATCTCAATGTTCAAGTGATGGAAAAGGGTGCACAATAAATATGCTATTTCAACAAGGATAAAAATTTAAGGCTGAAGGACCATATAATTATAATACAGCAGATCAATTTTCACACAGCAAACCTATGTTGAATGCTGCTTTCCCATCCAGAAAAGTTTAGCACATCAACCTAAGATGAATAGCCAAAATACCACACAAAGCCTTAAGAGAAAGTATTTTGTGATCATGAATACAATGCCCAGAGTATATACAGACGGGTAACTATTTATAGGTTCTGAGTAAAAGGTAGTAAGAGCAGTGACACTTAAAAACTGTACCGCTCATTAAGATCTAGAGATAGATACAGATCTATAAATACACTTTTTCATGCTGTCACTTTCTGGCCCCTATAACTAAAGTGATGGATTTCTAATCATCTTTTTCTACGTCCCTGTCTCATTTCTTAGAGGCTGATGTGCTTCTTTGCAACCTGAATTCCCTGTCAGGAACCACTCTACTGCATTTGTTATAGGGTAGCAGTCACTCTTTGCTATTTAAACCAGACATCTACAACATATATTTCTTACAAACATTTAATTAACCAGTAGAATTCTCTTGACCAGGGTCAAAGGGTAAGTTTAAAAGAGAAATGGGATACTAAAAAGAGGTACACACCTGGGCAAGCCTTTGCCTAGCTCTTGCTTTTTCTTGGTTACTTGCTGGATGACTTGTTCCCAGTTGACATTTCTCCGAGATGCATTTAGAATCTGTCGAAGGGTTGGCTTGAGCCCAGATTCCTTCTCTGTCTCACCCTTTCGATGACCACTAATATTGCGGATGCGGCGAGCACTATTGAGATTTGGCTCGGGAAGGTGTGCTCCAGTTTTGCTCTTCAAACTAATGTGCCGGGTTAGATCTCTCTGGAGAGAGGCAGGAAAGCCAAGCTTACTGAGTTCAGGCAGAAGAGGGCCTGAGGACTGACCTAGATCGTTTTTCTGAAGCTCTGCATCTAAGCTAGCGCTCTCAAAACCTTCTGTTTCGTAAGATACATGAGATTTAACAGGGTCATCCACCTGTGCATCTTCTAGAGAAGTTTTCAAGTCTAGCAGTAAGCCAGAGGGTGGACTGGCCGCAGAGGTCATCTGCAACTCAGGTTCTTTCTGATGAACTGTTGAATTACATGCATTAGTGGAGAGTTTTCTACATGTTTTTAGGTTTTGGTCATCCCCCTCTTTCTCGTCAGCGAGGTGAGTGCTGCAGGATAACATTTCTGTAGTGGCAGAGCCCAGGGTTCCAATTTTTGATCCACACTTTTCCATGTCAGAGAGCTCCCCATCGCTTTCATCTTCTAATGTGTGTACCTGAAACTCTATCTTCAAAGATCCTTTTTCAGACTCTTCTACATTCCTACTTGCTTTTGCAAAGTTTCTGGTCCTTTTAGAAGTGCCAAGAAGTGGATTTTGCAATGACTCATGACACTGTAGCACCTCTTTGGCTTTTTGTAATGTATCGCTGAAATTCTCATCAGGTTCTCTCTGAGTGCCAAATGTACTTTTATTCCCTTTTAAAACATGAGAACATGAACTTCGTAGTTTGGTTACGTGAGACCCATGACTGTCTTCCATAGCGGGTTTGTTCAAGGGATTTGAGTGTTCTCCAGGAAAAAAAGAATTTGTTTTGGTGTTTTTTGAGGGATTCTTTAAATCTGGCTTTTGAGGAACTGACTTGGTGACTGGAATTGGAAGGAGTGCGGATTTTAAGCATGGCATCTTACTTAAGTGAAGCTCTTGTTCGTGCTTTTCTGTAACGGGGCAATCTCTCACCGCCTCATAAGAAGCAGGGCAGTCAGAGGGGGCTTTGTGAGTAAGAGATCCACCATGTGTTTCTTTCTGTGTTTTCAGCGTTGGGGAATGATTTGTTTCATCAATCTGGGGCTCTGGTGTTCCTGCAGTTGTCAAGCTGAAGTCAAAGAAAGGCTTATCTATAATTTCTGACTTGTTACCAGTGACTTCCTTCATTCCTGATTGTAAATCCAGAGTCTTCTGGGGAGGGTAAGGAGTCCAGCGATGGAGCTTGTCCCTAGCGACACTGCCATTCTTCCCACCCATTTTGGAAGCTATGGGATCTGTCTGCTTAGTAGTTTTGCTTTCCAGCTGCTCAAAACTGAAGCTAAGTAAGCCCTCTGAAGGAAATTTATCAGCTGTAAATCCTTCAGAAGGACCTCTATACGTGGCAGCCGTACCAACTTTGTCACTTTCTTGCCGCTGCCAACTGTATCTCTCTTGATTATATTTGTTTGACTTAGATTTCTTGTTCCACAGCATAGTCAGGTCGTCCATCTGACAGTTAGAATTTCTGTTTCTGCCTGGTTGAAATTTGTCTCCGGGGCCACTGTAATTCCAACTATTTGTACTACGTACACTGGATTTCCAGTTTCCGTTACTGCTGTTCATATGCCAACTGGAAAAGCCACCTGTTCCTTCAGAATGCCAACTGGAATTCCTTCCTGTACCATTAGGATTCCAATCTACTGCCCCGCTCTTTGAATGCCAACCACCTCCAGAATTGCTATGGTTGTGAAACCAAGTTGAGGCGCCTCCTGCAACACCCTTGTGCCACCCGGAACATCCTCTTGGTCCACCATTATTCCTCAAAGAATGTGGAAAGTTGTTTTTCCTGTTATTATTAAAGCCATCCTTCTCCCACTTCCAGTCTCGCTGAGGAGGTCCACGATGATGCCACGCTGGCTGACTGTAGCCCTCTCTGTCTTGGTAAGGGTTTCGGTCTTCTCGTCTCCATTGGGGTCGCCTGTCATCAGAGCTTATTTCTTGGCTGCTATTGGAAGGTTCCTCTTGTCTGGAAGAACAGTTTTCCATTAGAGGTTTAAAGAAATTATCACGCTTCACAGGCAGAGTGCATCAAACTTCCCACTACCTATCTCCTCGGTTACTCAAAATACATAAGAGAGTCTATTTTTATTTCTAATAGTGGCTGCTTTCCTAGCTTTAACCTAGCTCAACTTATATTTCACAACTGATTCAGACATCAAACATCTTCATTCTGCCATCACCTCAGAAATATTAAAAATTAACACATTTATACTATCCACCTTTTCCTGCTCCTGTTTTTCTTAGCAAGTTCCAGGACTTTTGTCCCTATCATCCAATTACTGTTTTTACATTATATTCTGTAGCTTTGGCTAGTTATCATAGTTAATACAACTTAAGTTCAGCGGCTCTTAATACTGTGGATTTTTCCAGCTGTAGGTTCTTTCTCAAAAACCCAGTTTCTTAACCTATTTTAAAGACTAAGATTTCACTTTGCATCAGCACCCTCATTAATAAACACTTTTATCAGGCACACATCCAATGACTGTGGTGAGAGAACTTTTATGTATAGTGCCCGTTCCTAAAAGGCTTACAGCCTAGCTGAGAAAATGAGATCACAAACAGGAGTAAAATAGCACACACCAAATAAGCGGCACCCGCAATCAGTGCTGGCTATAAGGAGCTCCGTGAGCGAGAGGTTTTTATGAAGCTACAGCTGTTTCAACTATTCGTGTTAGCCATGGAGCCCAGAGGCATGCGGGTAAACCTAAGTCAACATCACAGAAATAGGTGCAAAACCACTTTCCTCTACAAACCGCCTGTAGTGTGCCAGGCATTGTGCTTAACGGCCGTAGGTGCTCAAAACACGGAGTGATACTAGCCAAAACGTACTGAGTACCTACTGTCACGCATTTGAAGCACTTTCTATAGACTATCTCCTTTAGTTTTCACAGCCCTGAAGCAATTCTTCTTCTTATTCCTACCTTTTGGATGAGGAAACTGAGGAATGGAGAGGCTGAGTAGCTTGCCTAGAGTAAGACAGCCAGAAGTGGTACGGCGGAGACGTGAACCTCGGCAGTCTGACCCCAGCATCTACATTCTTCACTGCTGGGGCTTTGAGAGACTGAAAATCCCCCAACTAAGTTTTTGCTGCTGGGCTCCCTCCTCTTAATCCGATTTAAACTCAGTACTGACTTGAACTGGTTCTAAAACGTTTCTGTTGTCTCTAAGATTTTGGAAATTTGGAATTTCTTCCTTTTTCACAAGATGGAACTAAAAGTTAGTTTACCTGGAAGTTCAAACATCTACTTACATTATGAATTACAACCATTTCTAAACCGGAGATCCTAAGTCCCCAAGTGACACGTGTTGTTACATACATGTGCAGGATTTTTGTAACACCAGTGACCAAACTGTTTTTATCTTTTGTTTCTAAGCAGTATACAACTTTTGACATCCAAGGAGATTCTTGGATCTGACTCGGCTACACTAATGGGATCCAGAAATGGGAGAATCGGGCAATAAATCTGTCACAAAGTAGAATTCCTAGATCACCCTGAATTAGCTAGATCGAGGGGACAACAGTATGCAGCCAAATCCATAGCCCAGAAAAAGCAATCTAAATTAAAAACCTCATGAAGGAAAGAAGAAAAAAACTTCCTAAAGAAATAAGACTATATATAAATCACCAAAGTAGCTTATCAGAATATTCAAAGAATATTAACTATGATATGAATGTCTACTTTACTGAGAAGCTCTTTTACCTTCTGACTCAATATTTAATCATCTATACAGATAAGCTAATAATGGCACAAGTGTGTAAGAAAAAAATAAACATTAATCTCCTAGAGACCTCAACACCCTTAAAACAAGAGTAAACTACAGCTGTACTGACAGTAGTAACAATGTCATTTGAAGGATGAAGCAACTAAACGGGTTTAAGAACCATGCTGCTACTGACGTTTTAAGACTAAGAAAGTCTCCTTCGAGGACTTGTTCAGAACACTTGTAGCATGTACAGTGAAAATTACTTCCTTTTTATGCTAAACCTCTAACTAAAAATGAAATGCACACCAAGTATAACTAGTATTCAAAAAGAATCTTTAAAATTTTATTTTAGAATTGTAATGTTTCTCCTTATATTCCAAGGCTTGAAAAAATTACCCAACCTCTTAACCGGTTCTCTCTCTTACCGAAGAGAAAGAGAAATCTGAAAATTTCTGCTTCATGAATTAAACTCTTTAGACCACAACTCAGTAATGCAAAAATACAAAAGCCTAATACCTGAATTATAGATGTAGGTGTCAAACTATAGAGTATAAGCTGGAAAACTTATATTGATCTTGACAATGTCAAACTTACAATACAAATTTATTCAATATTTACTGAAGCACTTAATAATAAAGGATGAATCAAATTTGGTAGAAGCACCATGTCAATTCATATCAGGCAAAGCATTTTTACCTAATGGATATAATAAGAAATACTTAAAAGAAGAAGCTTTTATACTAATACCTTTCCACTAGAAATTTTGGATACCAAATAAAACAATTCACTGGTGTCCAAAAGAAATTGGAACCAGTAAAAACAGTTCTAAACACGGTTATCAACATAGTAAAAATTTCTGATATGTAGCACCTATAGCTAATTTTTATAGAGACAATACTGAGTTGTGGTTTTTTTTTTTTTAATACAGATAGTATAGTAGTTCAAGGAAGGATTCTAATGACCTTTTATGCCTAAGAAAGCAACCTCAAGCTAACCTTTGCAATGAAGGTAAGTCTGAAAGCTACAGGCTGAAAAGTATAGAAATGGAAAATGTATTCTCTATTATATTTTATTTTAGACAGCCTTTTTAAAAACCAAAATCATTACTTACCGACTTTGTTCTTTCCTTTGTTTTATTAACTGAACGAGTTCCTTGTCAAAATAATCTTCTTCTTCTTCTTCTCCCTTTCCATCGTCTTCTCTTTCCTGGGCATCAACATTATCTTTGTGGAACTGGCTAGAAATGTGCTTTGCATATGCAGAAAGACCCACTTCTGTGACCCCGCACACTCGGCACTCATGACTACTGTCCCTAGGGAAAGAGGGAGATGAGGGACATTCAATTCTCCCCACTGGCATGGCCCACTCAACAGATCTCTTCCGGTTTCCTCTGAAAAACACCGCACACTTTGGCACAGTGAAAGATTAGTGCTAATCAACTTCAATGCTCCTTTCATCACTTTTAGTAAATTTGTTCAAAAGTTATTTTTGAAATGATTTTAAGATTCTTTTCCAGCAATCAAGAGGCAGTACACTTCAGAATAATGTAGTTTAGGAGGAGAAATCTTCTTGAATTGCTGTACTTAAAATCTTGCCAGAGGAAACATGGTGAAAGGGGAGGCAGGGCAGGGGGCTCAGAGCAAACAGAAGTTGCTCTAGAGCACACCCATGGTGCCAGGGGCACTCAGGAGCCTGGTCACAGCGCGTACATTTTATCTCAGGCTCAAGAGCTTTCTCCCAAGGAAAGTTAAGGGGTGGAGAAAAGAGCAGGCTGCCTAGCCAATCCCAATGTGGTAGCTAAATCGGAACAGCGGGAGCTCTGCCTGGAATGTGAAGATTCCGGACCCCAGGGCAAAGGATAGGAGTAGTCTCAGCAAACTTTTTTGGTCTGGATGATACATGTGACCTACATTCTGCTTCAGAAGGGCTTATTTAAAAGGGAATGGAAAGCATTTCAGTTGTAGGAAGTTAACAGCTGTGCTAGGCAAATGGTTTTTCTCAAATTTCAGAAAATGCAAGTTTGGAGAGAAGCAAAGCCAGGTTCTTAGTTCAGAAAGAAACTGAGCAGGTTTTTTTCCTTTTACTTTATGCAGTCAATGGTAAATCTCATACTTGGCCAGTTTAAGAAACCAAAACCTTGAACCAACACCCAGAGCTGTAGTAAATGAATAATTTAACAGCTTTTTTAGCTTCCTGAAATCCCTTGATTGGTTCAGCTGTCTATGTAGCCACTGATGAGAAACATTTAAACACCATGGCCACAAGTGTAATGAATGGACAGTAACAGCCATTCAATAACGGCTCAATGGGCTAACTCTGTATCACTTGTCTTGGGTTTACACTAGTGATATTTTTGCATTTCCTATGCCAATCTCTATTATCCATTCATTTATTTATTTATTTTACAAACAGAAGCTTATTACCATGTATATCCCAGGTATACATGAGAGACACCCAGGAAAAATGAGTAACTCTCCTAGGTAACCTAAGCCACCAACTTAAATACCATCTTCAGCTAAAGGCAAAAGAAAGAAAAGCAGGAAGGAGAACAGTTAAGGGAGGTAACCAGGAAAAGCAAGGAAAATAATGGTAACGGTAGTTATGTAGACTTTAAGTTGGTGCTTTCTCCACTAATAAAATTCTCAATGCCAATCTTAAAAAAAAAAAAAACAACACAAAAAGACATGCTGTCTTATAAGACAGACAGAAAGACACACATACACACATGTACAACAATGTTCCATCCTCCCCTCACATATGTCTATAAAGACAGGGTGGAACTCATATCAATTAACCAGAAGAGAACCTCAAAACTGAGCACTTCATTTACCAAAATTGTTTTCTATTACAGACCACCTGAACATTCATTAAAAAACAACAACAACAAAAAACAACCTTGCGGAATACCTAATAAATTCTGGGCATCATGCTAACTATATGGTTATAGTTGTCTAGCATGACAAAGTAGAAATAATGCCCAGTAAATTAAAAGTTTTTCCCCTTGTAAGAATCATGGAAAACACCTGAGAAAAATGGAGAAAATTCCTAAGTTTTTACTTTTTTTGAACTTTGTAACCTCAAATGCTCTGGACACAATACAGTCTCTGACATTAAGATTCATTTTAATGGGTTCTGACCAGGTTCCCTGAAAAATCTCATTACCTTATTATCCTGTATATCAATATTCTAATTCCTTCCAATCCTCCAAAAAGCTTAAATCTATTCTTCCACTGAGCATTTTCCACTAAAGAATAATCCTCAAATTCCTCCAGTTTGCCAAGGATACCCCTACTCTTCTCTCAAAATTACGGTAGCTCATACAAAGTGTCAACTTGTAGCAGAAATCAAGCCTCTTCTCATGGCAACACAAAAAGAAGTTAAAAATATGTAAGCATAAATCTGTCCAGCATTGGAAGAGTCTGAAAACTGCAACTAACCTAGAATACATAGTTTAAACTATCATAAAACTTCGAATATTTGTGGTGAGCACAGCATAAGTGTAGAGGTGTTGTATCATTATGTCTTACTCCTAAAACTAATGTAACACTGTGTGTCAACTATACTTCAGTTAAAAAAAATTTTTTTTAATTTGAAACATAAAGTTAAAAAGAAAATTCAAATCAACTGAATTTTCTGGTTAGAAAATCTTTTGAGCTTTAAATTCTCTAAAACTATGGAAAATGTTTTAGTCCACCTTTCTACATAAAAACTTAAAAAACACTAAACTGTATATTGTAGTACCAAGGACATCTTTCCTAAAGGCATTCTTAAATAAAATTTCTGCTTATACCCTTACTTCTAAAATGCAGAGAATTTTTCTCATGTTCAAGCTATTAAGAACCCTCTCTTTACAGATATAACTGGAAGACCACACTGTTTAAAATATTAAGGAACGCAGTGTAGACAGTATTTAACTCTGTTAAAAATAAACATCCATAATCATAAACCCACACACTTTGCAATCCCCAAAGCACAGGCATATGTTGGATATGTAACAAATATTCAAACACAGATTTTTAAAACATATGTGCTTTCCTTCTAAGAAAGGGTATTAACCATAGTTCTAAAGTTATATTTAATAGAAAAACACCTAAAGAGATCCTGCCCACAAGGGTAGAGGCAGTAACAAAAAAGCACTAAAAACAAACTATCCAAAACCAATCCAAAAAATTCCTAAAATTTTCCTATAAATGAATTCTAGTTTAAAAAGAGAGCAAGAGAGAGAGAATCTTTACAAGAAACTTCAAAATGAGGGGTGCCTGGGTGGCTCAGTTGGTTAAGTGTCTGCCTTTGGCTCAGGTCATGATCCTGGAGTCCCAGGATTGAGCCCCACGTCTGGCTCCCTGCTCAGAGGGGAGTCCGCTTCTCCCTCGCCCTCTGCCCCTCCCACTGCTCCTTCTCTCTCTGTCTCTCTCTCACTCACTCTCTCAAATAAATAAAAAAAAATTTTTTTTTTAAAAGAAACGTCAAAAGAGAAAAGAGAGGATCCACATTTATCTAGGGAAAGAACGGGTTAGGACAACCACATCTCTTAAAAATGCAAGTGTGTCTGTGTCTGGAGGAAAGCATATTATCCGTTTTACATACAAGAGGCATTCATGCTTCTACATATGATGTTAGGGAAACCACATTATTTAAAAACTTAATGGCAAATTAAACATTATTTTAATGATGCTATTTTCCAATTCTCTATCAATAACCAGTTAAAATACTTACTACTTTGTATAACTATATAAAGTAATTGCTGGGGAACTTGTACTACTTCACTTCTTGACTAATAAAGGCAAAAACTGTCCTCAGGACATTTAAAGGAGGGCCCAAATTAACTTCATCCTGTTACCACACAATTTCCTCTCATGTGTGGAAGGCAAAGCCTTAAGATATTCTCCCCATAAGCTTTTCTTTATTAAGCTTGCTCTAACAGCTGGTTGATAAATAAAGGTTTGAGCCCTTTTAATAGCATTTATCTGTAGAAATAGGCCACACATCTGAGTAAGTATACTGGGAAAAAAGAGAGAAATGTTCCAGATGTCCGAAATTGTGAACCAAATAAGAAAGTTTCTTACTGAACATAATAAAAAAAATAAATTTAAATTAATTATTATTAAAATAAAAAGAAAGCTTACTTTTCAAATTGGTATTCAAAACCTAAAAAATATGCTCTTTAAATTTCTTAACCAGATCACAGCTAAAAATTAGAGTGATACAAATATAAAGGAAACAGAAAGCTTTAACATCAGAAAGCCAGGAATTAAACATGAATTCCACAGAAAATAATCACAAACTGATTGAGAGGAAGGAAGAATGACGACCAATAACTACGTGTCCCTACGGTACAAACTAGTGATCACAGTTTGTCACTACAGTAAATGCTCCAAGTAAGTAAATGATCTTTGAGATTTTGTTTTTTATAGTTTTGTCAGTTGTTTTTCCTTGCTACCTGCTTTGCCTTTGCCCTTATTATTTATTAGAGGCTAGGAGACCATATAAAACTTACTGGCTCTGCACCTAAACTATGAATAAGTAAGTACTAAGGTGTTTCCCTCTAAATAAAATGAGTTTGGATGCTAAGGCTGACACTTTTATTGTCAGCTTGGAGGCTTCTAAATGCTTTCTCCTCGATCATTTGACTATGCTCCGAATAACTGAAAATGATACACAAAATCTCCAAGGCACAGTTAAGTTGATGGGTGGAGGAGAGGAAAAAAGTTACTGAACAATAAATATACAGCATGTAGTTCAGTTACGCGAGTAAGACAAGACCAAATGTGTCTATATAGAAACGTAAGTCTACGTGTACCCACAGAACGAGGTTTGGGTAAGATATGGACCGAACTGTTGGCTTTCCTGGAGGAAGGGAGCAGGGCTGAGGCATGTAGGCCTGAGAGGACTTCTACCTTTTTTACTTTTTACAATTAATTCTGTATTCATTATGAACACGAATCTTAAGTAATCAAAAATTTTTTTAACGTTTTAAATAGCTGTTTAGTGGATGTATGAAGAAAATAAGGCATTAATCTTGGAATAAAAGTGGCTTCTCTCCTAATGACTAGATTTACTGACCTCATATGTTTCATTTGATTTATAATATAGTCACATGGCAGGTAAATAGCCCAGAAAAAGGTGAATTCCAACAGGAAGTCTACTGGAAATGGGATTAAGTAATTAAGATAATACCCATTTAGAGGCAGGTAAATAGCCCAGAAAAAGGTGAATTCCAACAGGAAGTCTACTGGAAATGGGATTAAGTAATTAAGATAATACCCGTTTAGAGAATCAAAGGTTGACTCTATTTCATAGGTTTCCAATGATAATGAGTTAAAGATCACATGTATGCAAGGTATTATGACAAGGATTCTCCACACTAAATCTGAATGAAAGCCTCTTTTATGTTGCTGCTAAGACCTAACCTTCCTATAGTAAGAAACTGAGACCATGGAAAAATTCCACAAATATGCTAAACAGATGCTAAAAGTTTACTAACATATTAATTTGCCCACACCATATAAAACTGTATTATTTTAAATACAAATAACGTAAAATGACTTAGTCTGGCCTCATGATTAAAGCTTGTATCTATTATTCATGCAATAAGATAAAATCAGTATTTCTCAGTTCCCCAATGTTTCTCTGTTCCATACTATCTCCAAACCTCAAATTCAAGTCAAAAACATCAAAAAAAAAAA